TGATCTCGCGGTTTGTGGGTTCGAGCCCCACGTCGGGCTCTGTGCTGACTGCCAGCTCAGAGCCTGGAGCCTGTTTCAGTCTGTGACTCCCTCTCTCTCTGACCCTCCCCTGCTCGTGCTGTCTCTCTCTCTCTCTCCTAGAAATAAATAAAACATTAAAAAAAAAAACCATATATCTTTTATAGAATTCAGTGAGATTTGGGATGAAGTGGAGATAAACATGTACTCAGTCTGCCATCTTAACTTGAAGTATTTCAGAACTGTCTCAGTTTGTGTGGGTGTATGAATTTATATAAATATATACATTTATAAAAAAATATATAGGGGCACCTGGGTGACTCAGTTGGTTAAGCATCTGACTCTTGGTTTCAGCTCAAGTCACAATCTCACCGTATGTGGGATCAAGCCCTGCATTGGCTGGGCTAACAAAACGGAGCCTGTTTGGGATTCTCTCTCCCTCTCTCTCTCTCTCTCCCCTTCCCCAGTTTGTGCACATGTCTGTTCTCTCTCTCTTTCAAAATAAAATAAACATAAATATACATATATATAGGGGCACCTTGGTGGCTCAGTTGGTTAAGCATCCGACTTTGGCTCAGGTCACAATCTCCCTGTTTGTGAGTTCAAGCCCTGCATCAGGCTCTGTGCTGATAGCTCGGAGCCTGGAGCCTGCTTTAGATTCTGTGTCCCTGTATCTTTCTGCCCCTAGCCCCTTCACACACTCTTTCTCTCCCAAAAATAAATAAACATTAAAATATACATATATACATATATGTATATTACATGCCATCAGGGAAATGCAAATCAAAACTATAATGAGATATCATTTCACACCTGTCAGAATGGCTAAAATCAACAACACAAGAAACAACAAGTGTTGGAGAGGATGTGGAGAAAAAGGAACTCGCTTATACTATTGGTGGGAATGCAGACTGGTACAGCCACTTTGGAAAACAGTATGAAAACTCCTCAAAAAATTAAAAATAGAACTACCCTAAAATCCAGCAATCACACTACTGGGCATTTGCAGAATGCAGAATGCAGAATTACAGAATTGCAGAATACAGAATCATTAATTCAAAGGGATACATGGACCCCTATGTTTATAGCAACATTATTTACACTAGCCAAGATATGGAAGGAGCCCAAGTGCCCATCAATTGATGAATGGATAAAGAAGATGTGGCATATATATATATATATATATACACACACACACACACACACAATGGAATATTACTTAGCCATAACATCAAACAAAAATCTTGCCATTTGCAATGACATGGATGGAGCTAGAGAGTATAATGCTAAGTGAAATGAGCCAGTGAAAGACAGACACTGTATGAGTTCTTTCAATGTGGAATTTAAGAAAGAGAGCAAACTAACAAAGGGGAAAAAGAGAGAAAGAGAGACAAACCAAGAAACAGATTCTTAACTATAGAGAACAAACTTCTGGAGAGGGAGGGGAGGTGGGGGGATGGGTAAAATAAGTGATGGGGATTAAGGAGTACACTGGTGATGAGCACTGTGTGATGTGTGAAATTGTTGAATCACTAGATTGTACAATTGAAACTAATACAACATTGTATGTTAACTAACTGGAATTAAAATAAAGACTTAAAAAATATATATTATGCAGGGGCTCCTGGGTCTCTCAGTCAGTTGAGCGTCCGACTTCAGCTCAGGTCATGATCTCACAGTTTGTGGGTTCAAGCCCTGTGTGAGGCTCTGTGCTGACAGCTAGCCCAGAGCCTGGAGCCTGTTTCAGATTCTGTGTCTTCCTCCCTCTCTGGCCCTCCCCTGCTCATGCTGTCTCTCTCTCAGAAATAAATAAAACATTTTAAAAATTAAAAAAAATATTATGTGTATGTATTTGTTTCATATATGACATATAACATATACATGACACGCAAGCATACAAATAATGTATATGTGTATATATGTGTGTGTGTATGACATGACTGTTTTCATGAAGATTCTGCAAATGTACATTCCAATTAGCTGAGTTGCAATGTAATATTTCAGTATAACATCTCTACAGTTGGATTTTATTTAAAAAAACACAAAATTCTATGCCATTTCAAAAATATGGTGTCTATGCTTAAAATAAGCCATCACTTTTTAGTGAGGTGAAACTCTTAACCTAACTTTATGCTATGAAAAAATTGTAAACGTGTACAAAAGTGAAGAGAGTTGTATAACAAATCTTGGTGCTCAGCACCCTGCTTCAACAATTGTCGATTTTTTTCAGTGATGAAAGTGAAATGTATTGTTAAATATATGTTAGCTGTTGTATTTCTTTCTTTGTGAATTATCTGTTTAATGCTTTTAATTATTTGTCTTTTGGGATTTTGATGTTTTTCTTTTGAAAAATTATGAACTTTTTAGAAATGAAGTCCATTTCTTTTTTGTCATTATCATTGCAAAATAGTTCTATCACATATTTCTCCCTTTACTTCTCTATTTTGTTATACTGAAGTTTAAATTTTAGTCTAGTAAATGGAATGAGGTATGGATTTGCTATGAGTCAAAATTGCTTTAAGTTTATTTATTTTTGGAGAGAAAGAAAGCAGACAGGAGAGGAGGAGGGGCAGAGAGAGACAGAATCCCAAGCAGGCTCTGCGCCATCAGCTCAGAGCCCGTGGTGGGGCTCAAACCCATGAACCATTGATATCATGATCCGAGCTGAAGTCAGACGTTCAACCAACTGAGCCACCCAGGCTCTAGAAGGATCCATGTGGTAATGGATTAATGTTGGAGATCTCAATCTGCATTCTTTTTATGTTTGGCTTTATATAGATACAGATGGTTAGAAATATGTACAGATATATATGTGTATATACACAGGTTAGCGCACACGCATATATGTATGTCCTCACACTGTCAGCTAGAAGGTCCCAGAAGCAACAGCATCCTAGTAGCAACAAGTATGCCTACTACCCAGATCTTAGTTTATCACATATTAAATTCTTATGTCTGCCATTATCTGCTTCTTTGCTCACTGTGTGGAAGATGAACCTCTCAATCCAGAAATCAACATAAAAATTAGTCTCAAGTCAGGGCAGAGAAAAACACAAAACTTCCCTGGAGGACAGTCCTACAATCTAGGCTGAATGGGATTCTGACAGGATAAAACCTGTTAAAAACAAGTTCACTGACCTACACAGGAAGTTACAAAACAAACAGGGAAGCAAGCTACCGTGGGGGCGAGCCAGCAGATACAACAAACAAGAAAATTCATGCTCTGAGGAATTTGAAATGCAAGATGAAAACCAAAAGGAAATATGAAAAAGTTTCTAAATAAGTCTGGAAAACAAATAGCTATGTCTATTTTTGGAGTTAAAAATTAGGTATAGTAGGGGGCACCTGGGTGGCTCAGTCAGTTGAGTGTCCGACTTTGGCTCAGGTCATCATCCCACTCCTCGTGAGTTTGAGCCCCACATTGGGCTCTGTGCTGACAGCTCGGAGCCTGGAGCCTGCTTCAGGGTCTGTGTCTCCCTCGCTCTCTGCCCCTCCCCCCACTCGTGCTCTGTTTCTCTCTGTCTCAAAAATAAATAAACGTTAAAAAAAGGTATAATAGGAACAGCTACATGTAAGATGGTGCAGTGGTTTTAGAGTGTCAGTATTGCCAAGTCCTTTCACTGTCAGACATGAGGTCTAAGATACCAATGAATTTAGATTTTTTAAGTATCCACAGGCAAAGTCCTGCAGAGGACTGATTCTAGGTCTTGGAGAAAATGAGCACTTTGCAAAGAAATTGTGTACCAGTTACATTTTACTGTCATAAATTCTTAAGCATAACGGAGAACATCAGTGGGGAGCCTGAGTAGCTCAGTCGGTTAAGAGTCCGACTTTGGCTCAAGTCATGATCTCACAGTTCGTGGGTTCGAGCCCCACGTCAGGCTCTGTGCTGACAGCTAGCTCAGAGCCTGGAGCTTGTTTCAGATTCTGTGTCTCCCTCTCTCTCTGATCCTCCCCTGTTCATGCTGTCTCTCTCTCTCTCTCAGAAATAAATAAAACATTAAAAAAAAAAAAACAGAGAACATCAGACAGGCAGATATCCAGTGAGGGTGGCTTCTCAAGTCCCCAGATGCTTGCGTCAGGCAATGGTGTTCTACCCAGTGAAGGTAAAGCAATGTTTATCAAACATCAGTTTCTTAAATTTCAACATATAGCTTTTATGGATTCAGGCTACCTTTATATAGTTATGTCATTGAAAAGTTCTGTATATAGAAGTTGTGCAATAATGTCTAGGTTGTAGTAACATGCAGCTGGTTGTCAAACTTTCAAATTTGAAGAGGAATTACAAACAGCAAGCTTGACCATAACCTACCCCAGCATGTTAAAATTTAGGAAAAAGTGAAGTAAAGGTAAATGGGAATATAAGGCAAGGCTTCCAAAAGAGCTGAAGAATAAAAAATGTAAAAAAATAAATTCACTGGAAAGAAGGCAGGAAATGAGAGAGACAGACAAACACACAGATATACATGGAGGGAGGGAGAGAAGGAAAGAAAGAGAGGGAATGAGGGAGAGACAAAGAGAAAGGGAATTAGTAGTTAAAAGATTATCTACCTATAGAGGTGCCTGGGGGGCTTAGTTGGTTGAGCGTCTGACTTCAGGTCAGGTCATGATCTCATGGTTCATGAGTTCGAGCCCCATGTAGGGCTCTGTGCTGACAGCTCAGAGCCTGGAGCCTGCTTCAGATCCTGTGACTCCCTCTCTTTACCTCCCCTACTTGTGCTCTCTCTCTCTCTCTCTCTCTCTCAAAACTAAATAAAGACTAAAAAATTTTTTTAAAAATCTACCTATAAAGAAAACTAAGCACCTGAGGCCAAAATTGTTTAATAAGCAAGTTCTACTGAATCTTCAAGCAACAGAATTTCCATCTTATACCTAATATTCCAGAGAATAAGTAGAGACATTTCCCTAGTTCATGTTATGGGAATCATGAAACCTTGATTTCAAGGACCAAACAAGAAAGGAGAATCATTGGCTAATTTTACCCGGAGACACAGGTGTAAATGCAGCTGGATCAGGGTGGTTGACACACATCATTGACTCTTCCAGCAGGGGGAGCCCACGGACAACATCCATCCTCATGGCAGCTTCTTTCCCATGGTTGAGTAGCTGGAACAGAAGCATCAGGACCTTACCAGAGAACCTTACTGATTTTAGTCTCTCCCAGTATGTGGTGTCAGTCCGGTATCTACTAGGAGCTGAATTATGCCCCACCCCCACCCAAAATATATGTTTGAGTCCTAGCCCCCAGTATCTGTGAATATGACCTTATTAGGAAATGGAGTCTTTGCCAATGAGTAAGGTAAAATGAACTTGTTAGAGTTGGCCCTAATCTACCATGACTTGTGTTCTCATGACACAGGAGATATCTGGACATAGACGCAGTCGTACTGGGAGAACGGCATGGGAAGAGAGGCTCTACAAACGTCTAACTACCAGAAGGTAGAAGATTCTCTCTCAGAGCCTTCAGAGAAAAGCTCTGCCAACACTTTGATTTTAGACTTCTAGCCTCCAGAACTGTGGAAAATACACTTGTGCTGTTTTAAGCCACCTACTTCATGGTATTTTGTGATAGCCTCCCTAAAGCTAACACTATACCTAAACTTCAATGCCAAGCCAGATATTAAGTTAGTGGTCTCCCAGATACTCATGCCTAAGCGTCCAGTCTGCCATTGAAGTATTTTATGTGCATCATCAGGTAGGGGCTTCAGAGAGTGCATTGTATAGAATTCCTCTACCTCCCCCAGTATCATTCCTTGGTGGAGGTGGTCTCCTCGGGGGCTAGGAGGAGGTCTGGTGGAGAAAATAGAACACTGGTTCTCCACTGTGCAGTATGAAGATGGGATGCCCTCTTATCACGAGGAGTATCTGAAATCTCCAGGCCCACCCAGGGATGGCTAGACTACACAACAGATTTGTTGAAAGCATATTTAATATTTTATGGCTCTTAACCATGATTTCCCATTCTTTCAGTTTTTTATTCTAAAATAAATATAGGATCATGGGAAGTTACTTTTCCATTTATTTTGAAATTTCAAATAGACTTGTAGGAGTGTATCTGAGTTTGCTCGGGCTGCCAAAACCAAGTACCACAAACGGGGTGACTTTAAACAATAAAAATCTGTTGTTACAGTTTTTGGGGCTAGAAGTCCAAGGTTGAGGTGTCAGCAGGTTTAGTTCCTTTTGAGGGAGAACGTCTTACCTGGCTTCTGGGGGTGTGTTGGCAACCTTTGGTATTTCTGGACTTGTAGATGCAACCTTCTGACACCTGTCTTCATCTTCATAGCCCCTGTGTGACATGTATGTGTCCAAACTTTCCCTTTTTATAAGGACACAGTCATACTGGATTAGGGTCCAACTTAGTGACCTTATCCTAACTTGAGTATTTACAAAGTCCCCATTTCCAAATAAGGACACATTCGCAGACCCTGGGGATTAGGACTTCAACATGTGGGGAGCACAACTCAACCCATGACAGAGTATATGAGCTTTTTATATGTATTACAGGAGATAGAGTTTAAAAGGTTGAGAACTTCAGGGGACCCTGGTGGCTCAGTTGGTTGAGCATCTGACTTTGGCTCACATTGTGATCTCATGGCTCATGAGTTCAAGCCCTTCATGGGGTTCTGTGCTGACAGCTCAGAGCCTGGAGCCTGCTTTAGATTCTGTGTCTCCGTCTCTGCCCTTCCCAAGCTTGTGCTCATCTCCTATCTGAAAAATAAACAAACATTTAAAACAAAAGATTAAGAACTTCAAAGCTTAAAACGTGTAGGCTGAGACAGGGAAACTGGATTCCATAAAAAGCTGCTCTTTCTCCTTTTCCTGCTTCTATTCTAACTAGGATCTGCACCCTCACCCCACTTTACACATGCCTCAAAATGCAAATAATGTATGTCCTTCTTGTAAGGGACAAGGAGTTAGTGATATCTTCAGAATAGATAACATCTAAGGAAGGACCAGGTGAAAATGACCAGATGAGGTATCACATGTGCATTCTAGACAACCACACTAGACATCTCAAGGTCAAGGCCCCCTGGCTCCAATGAATGACACCTACCTAGGCCCTCATCTTTGTTCTACCTGGTTTCTGGACATCTGCAGGGACACGTACACCAGACCACCGTCCTCCATAAAAAACCATGGACCCTGAACACAGATGAGACTCCTGCTCTACTCCTTTCCTTTCCTTTCCTTTCCTTTCCTTTCCTTTCCTTTCCTTTCCTTTCCTTTCCTTTCCTTTAATTTCCTTTCCTTTCCTTTCTTTTCCTTTCCTTTCTGAGTCTTCCAGATGCTCTGTCTGTATCTGCTCTCTCCATATATCTTCAGCAAACTCTGCTCTTCCTTCTTGCTGGCTTCCATTTGGTTCCATCCTGTGCAAAGCCAAGGACTGTCATTAGTTGGTTCTATAGGACACCCTCTGGATCCTTGGACCGGGCCTGATTGCACCATTGCCATCACAGCTGGCTTTTTAATATGTTCCCCTGAGATGCTCCCTAACTTGCTGACGTGCATCACTGACCTTTAAGCTCTTGCTATGGGACTCCTATTCCCCACCTGACCCCTGCTCAGCCCCAAAAGTCAGCAAACCAGAGGATCCATAGCTCTCACTGGGGAAGCTTCCACACAGTCAATAATTTCAATCCTCAAGAGTTATTGCTCACATAGTTTTCTTGAAAAATTAAGAAAGCTTGAGAAAACAGTTAACTTAATTAAAAAACCTGAATTATGCTAGCAACACCTAGTATACACAACCCCCCCACACACACACCAACACACAATACAGACACACAGAGGAGTGTGTGTGTGTGTGTGTGTGTGTGTGTGTGTGTGTATACACAATGAGGGGCTGAATCTGTTGCAGACGAGTTTCCACACGCGGGCGGTAAGACAAGGGCTTGGTCTGGGGCCTGTGCAAGGTGTCCTGGGCGAGCCTGAACTGGCACTGGGCAGCCGAGAGGGTCCAGGCTGAATAGGAAAGAAGTCTTGTATAACCTGATCATCACTTCCTTATTCTCCAGTCTCATCCAGAGCCTTCTCCCTGCTTTAATTCCTCCTCCTTACTGTGTGCAGGGCTGTTGTGCTGTTTAAGTGACCTCTGTTATAACTTCACAATAGGCATTTTTCAATTTTTAATTTCTTTACTTGGTTTTTGGGCTTTCCCCCATTAAACTTCGTGAGAGCAGAAAGTAGCTTGTCCTTCTCAGCATTTGGCATGGAACGCAGACTCAGTGTTTGTTGAATGATTGCATGGGTGAATGGATGAATTTATGATTCAGGTATAGTGGCATCAAGGACACACTGTGATTGTTTCAATAATTTTCAAGGTCACATATTACATTATTCCCGCAGATTCTGTTAATGAGTCTATAATATCTTACGCCATCTTATTCCACCTAAAGGTGATGAGGAGGCTCTATTTAATTCTGCCTTGGCTTGCTACTTGTTGATGATGGCTTCTGGTGACACTGTAACCAAACTAATATGAGTTCACTCCTGGGTGAGTCACAGATAGAAACTACACCAGATGGAGTTGTTGCACAAAGGAAACTTTATTTGCAGCAAATAAAGAGATCACACACAATAATTTCCAAAACCATGAGTGCTCGAGTGAGGGCGAATGGGTCTCTTTCATTTAGAGTTAGAATGAATATTTAGATGGTGGAGCCTAGCCATCATGTGTAGACGCGGGCATATGGTCATGCATGTGCCTTAAGGAAACACGCCCATACGTACATTGTATGTTATGTAAATTAGACCTGTGTTCTTCTTTGGGTGAAGATTTTAGTGTTATGAGGTAAAGGTAGCTATTGGTCCTTCCACGGGTCACTATGGTCCATATGTGTAGGTGAGTCAAGGGTTAAGCTCAAACTCGTCTAGGTGGTCTGGGCCACCAGAGCTCTTCATCAGGGTAGTCGTTGTTGCTTGAGGGATAGTTTCGGTTTCCATCATGGGATGCTCTGCTCCTAGGATCCTTGCTTTAGTTAAGAGAAACTGAAAAGAAGGGCATAAGGGAAAATGTGGGACAAAAGTTGGCGGGTACAAGCCGTTGAGCAGTAAAGGTCAGGTCTTCGGGTCTAGATAGTGACAAAAACATACCTGATACTGGAGCTACAGCTATCAATCTTTGTTTTCCCCAAGTATTTTTATTTAGTTTTGAAAGAGAGACAGAGGAAAGGCAGAGAGAGAGACGCATGTGCACACGCGTGCATGTGCATGCATGCACACACACACACACACACACACACACACACACACAGAATCTGAAGCAGGCTCCAGGATCTGAGCTGTCAGCACAGAGCCCGATGTGGGGCTCGAACTCGTGAACTGCGAGATCATGACCTGAGCCCAAGTTGGATGCTCAACCAACTGAGCCACCCAGGCGCCCCAACAGCTACCAGTCTTTACATGCTGATTGGACAATCCCCAAGGAAGGATATTTCAGGAAGGTCCTATTTGATTTTCAAGTAAGTCTCCTTAAAATTTCACTCTCAATCAGTTTATCTCCAAACTATCCATATTTGACTCCATTCTCTCTTGAAAAGAAATATTTAAAACAGAATGGAAAATATTTTACAATTTTTAAAAAGGAGCTAGGATAACTCTTGAAGTACTATTAGATTCCAAAGTTCAGTGCAAATGTTTCATTAAAATATCTTTTCCCCCCATGGTCATGGGACCATCATTATAGGACACTCAAGAGCTATCCACTGTGTTTGTGGATATCTGCAGATCTCAAAGTTATTTTTCATTGAATGGGGTCAGGGTAACATTTAAATAAGGAGTGGAATTTGCTAAGAGGATGCATTTCCACTCATTGTGCTTCTGGAAAGATAATGCGCAGTGGCAAGAAAGAGGGAACAGTGATCCTCAGGCTTAATATTTCTAAATCTTTGAAAGCAGGTCCAGGATTAAATGGATACAGTGATAAGTACACAATTTAATTCAAGCCATTTAATGATTTTCCATTAAGATTATTTCAATTCAATTACAATGAAATTTAATTAGTATTTATTGAGTGCCTTGAGGAAACAAAGTTTTGATCATGGGTTTCTTGGTATTTCTCGATTGTTCTCAGTTAAGAGCTCTGTTCCAGCCCTGGACATAATCCACTCTTACTCTTCTTAAATCCCCAACCTAATCTTAGCTCCTCTATTCTAATAACAAAATTATACTCTGTTCTCTTTCAAAACTCTGCTCAGGCTTCATCTCCTTTAAAAGCCTTCCCAGACTAATATCAACGGATGACTCTTGTAGTGTTTATTTCCACAGTCTCTCTGCACCAGCAGAAATGTGGATTCTCAAGAAGAGAATATTTTTGAACTGTCTTCTGCCCAGCTATTCCCCAAACTCCCCATAGACACCCCCAATGCACTCCCAAATCAATGGCCCTCAGTCCTGGCTGCACATTAGAATTACCTGGGAAACTTTTAGAAAGTTCTTTGTAGGAAGTTGAAGAGAAACTTTTAATCTGGGAACTCTTTGCCAGGCTAATTAAATTACCTGAGTGTGAGGCTCTCACAGATTTGTTTAGGTGTTTTTTAAATTTCTAGGTCATTTTATTAGTTTTATTTTTTTCCCCCTCCCTCCTCCTGGTAATTTCTGGGTCGTGTTAGTATTTGCCCAAGGAAGCGACTATTAAAACACAACTCAGCTTGAAGCTCTAATTGGCTTTATTAGGCAATTCATGAATTGGGCACCATCCTATTTAGCAAGCCGACTGGAGCTCCCAGGAGTTGTCCAAAATGGAAGGTTTTTACAGATTGGAGGGTGGGGCAAAGAAGTTATTAGCAAAAGAAAAGGATTGTTTTTACAAGGTTGCTTTCTCTTGGGGCGAATAGTAGGGAGCCTTGTTATGTAGTTTACCTCATCTTGCTTCAGGGGGATGGAGAGGGCCCACAAGGCAGATTACTTCATTGACACTAAGCAGAACATTCCTGATTGACCAGTTAAGACTAAATTTCTGGGGCGGGTTGAAACTGCATTTAGGTTAGGTATTAAGACCCAGTTTGGAGGCTGGAGCTAAGTCACGTCATTCTGAGCTTGTAGTGTTTTGTTTTGTTTTGAACGATGATGAGGTTTTGGTGTGCTGGGAGCTCGCAGCTGATGGCCAAGAATTCTTGAAGACGTCTTTGGTTAAAAAGAGGACCTGTACACAGAAAGGGCTGCACTGGAGTTGAAACGTGACTGGTTATATACTATGGAGTTGGGAGAGATAAAGTCAAGAGGAAGGGTTTTTTTACTTCTTCTTTTTTATTTTATTAAATTTTTAAAAAATGCTTATTTATTTTTGAGAGAGAAAGAGAGACAGAGCATGAGCAGGCTAGGGGCAGAGAGAGGGAGACACAGACTTTGAAGCAGACTCCAGGCTCTGAGCTGTCAGCACAGAGCCCAACATAGGGCTCCAACGCACATCATGACCTGAGCTGAAGTTGGATGCTTTACTGACTGAGCCACCCAGGTGCCCTCAAGAGGAAGTTTCTTAAAGGGATTCCCATATGCTAAAGACTCAGATTATTGGAGGCTTAGCTAAGGTTCTTTTTCCCTCTAGCAAAGCATCATTAAGA